ACAAAGTATTAGATGTTTAACCATATTTTGTGTATTTTTTTTTTCCCTTCTTAAAGATTACATTTTGTTTTTTCATTTATTTGTACAGGTAACAGGTTTTCGGGAAAGGAAACATATTTTCATTTTAGGTTAAATCTTGGCTAAGAGAGTTTACGCTTTTTGAATATGATACCTAATTCTGTCCAGGAGGAAGCTACTAAACCTGTACTTTAATGAAAGTAAAACAAACAAAAAAAGCTGTTAGCAGTACTATCAATATAGAGGTTGATAAGAATTATTATATTGCAAAAATGGATTTATGTTTTCTTACATGCTAGCAGTAATCTTTTAGCACAGCTCATAACAAGAAGTCAGAAAAGATTTGATGTGACACTCCCATTAGTGTTCTAAATGAGGATAGTTCTGAATGATTTGCAATTCTAACAATTAACCAACATTTAGCCAGACAGCTATTACACTAAACATTTTTAATTTTGGTGTTTCTGTCCATGTTGCTTTGATATTAAAGATTGAGAGTAATTAAAAATTATTCAGGAAAAGGTCCCATTTTGCCAGTTTTATGCAAAAACAAGATTTTATAAGCCTGGTACAAAGGCACTGTTGACTTATGCATAATAATTCATTAATACCAGACTAAAGGGCTTCCTATAACATAGAAAGTCTTATTTTCTCGCTTGGTTCTCTGAGATTTTCTTTTCTTTTTCTGCCTCTGTAAATTTATAGTTTTCAATTAGTACCCTTTCAACATCAGTTTAAAGTGGAAATTTCTTTGAAATGGGAACATAAAGTCAAGAATATAACCCATTTAAGCTTTGAGACCTTTAGGGCTGTGTTGAATTTATTGTCCTGTCTTATTTTCCCATTTGTTGTTATCTCTGCTGAGTCAACACTCACAGGTATGATTTACCTATCTGTCCGCTTGTATGCCTTTTGTCCAGCAGTGCAGAAACTTTCTGGACTTACTGTCATTCTATTTGGAATAGAGTGACATATTTCTGCTTTGAATATCAACACATATAAAAATTGATATGACTAAACTTCTTTTTAACCAAATATTTTTACATTTGATGGTATTGGTAAGTATTGAAAGTATGAATTCATGGTAAATAGAGATTTTCATGGTTGGAATATTTTTTTGGATTAAGGATTTTCACAAAATCCAAAAAATATTTTTTAAATTACATTTTTTTCATCTTAAGCAACTCTTTTTTGGATAATAAGGAAAGATATGAGCTATAAACACTTTGGGAGTATGAAGTCGGTAGAATTACAGCATCGGAAAACAACTCAGTGTTGTATGAGTTTTAAATTTAAATTTAAAAGGATGTAAATATACAGAGATGAAGAAAACCGAGTCACTGAGGAAAACATTTTTGTGATGTTTTTTGAATATAAGTCAGTGTCGTTTATAGTTATATTTAGCATGACATATATTTCCTAGAATAAATCAACTTACATATAAGTAAGCTGGTTTCATGAGTACTGAATATGTACAGACATAATCAGCTTTATAGCTGTTTTCCATTCTACTCTTAGAACAAAGAGGTTTCAATATCTGTTTTTACTATGTACGTTAGCTCAAGCAATGTCGTTTTGTTCTCTCACATCTTCACTAAAAATAATCAAACAGCTAAATTCTGCCCATCCCTCACAGAATTATATCAAATAATGTAATCAGAGAAAAACAAGACCCTGCAGGCTAGTCTGCAACAGGAGGTAAAGAGCAAAAATTAAAAGGCACCAAATCAAAAGATAACAGATAAGGGCCCCCTTCCTGTGGGCTTTGGAATACTTTACAGCAGATTTACATGAAATACATTCAAGTTTTTTGGAAGAGAAAAAAAATATATTTGATTGAGTATAACTATTAATTAAAAACTGGATATTTGACAGTTTGCAGTTAGCACTTTAAGCAGATCTTTTCTCTGTTTTAAACGTGTGTTTGCTAAATGGAGGCATTAGGTGCATTCCCAAATTTATGGAGCTCATTGCAACGGAACAGAGATAATAAAATAAACGGAAATCAAATTTAAGAATAAGTTAAACTTAGAACCCATTTCCTTTTTATTTAGATATGATGAACTCACAGCTTTAATTTACATTTTAAGACCAGCAATATACAGGGACATACAGAAAGACTGATGTTGTGACCAAGATTCTGTTAAGCAGACAGCATATGGCAAAACTGAGAAGTCATTCTGTTAAGAAAATTCTAATTTGGAAGCAAGTAATAAAAAATAGCATGTGCTTTTCACAGCAAAGTCATATTATTACACCAATTGTGACAAGAAAAATATCACTCCTAGAATAAGTACAACTTAATTTCTTAAGTTCAATATGCAGTGCTGGACAAAAAATATTGGTTGCCATTTAACCTTTTAAATTTTATGAGATGATTTAACACCAAGTAGTGAATAATTGTGAAGTAGAAAGATAAAAATACATAGTTTCAAACGGTTATACCAATAGAAATCTGAGGGTGAATGCATAGGTGTTAAGGCCCCTTCAGTCTGACATGCCTGAATACAAAAAAAACTGTGAAAGCCCAAGATGTTTGTCAAACAACGAACATGAACGAAAAGGTTCATGATGCTTCCTATAACAGGATCCTCAGCAATGGTATAAATCAAAAGAGAGGCAGCTTGTTTTCCTTTTCTATAAAAAAAAGTCTGCACATTAGGATAAAAAATAAAAATTAGATAGCAATTCTTTTTTTTTTTAACTAAGACATTTTATTCTTGGATCCTATATGATCTTTATGTTCTGCTCAGCTCTCTGCATTAGAGGGCAGAAATCTGTCCCAAGGCTTTACAGAAGGCCTGGTAACAAGGTAATGCATGTTTTAAAAAAATTACCTTTTCATAACTGCTGTAATTATTCATCATTCTTTGATGTGGATCAAAGCCTGTTAAAAAGGGTTTCATAGAAAGTTGTGGAGCTGGATTACAAAGCACTTTAGATCATCTCTCCCTTGAACTGGGGATACGATGTAAATTTTTTACAATCATTTTATTCAGCTACAGCTCAAACTGTATGACGAGCCACAGGGTTTAAAGGTGAACCACTCACCATATATGCTAAACGGTACAGCACTCTGATGCAATCTACCTGCTCACACTGTATATCCAAAAAACACATGTTGGACTCAGCGCCGGGAGATGGCGCTGGTCGGACTTGTAAATCTGGGAGAAGAAGAAGAACTCCCTTGTTTGCACATGTGCAGTGCGTGAGGTTCTGGTTAATTGATTTGTAGGCGCTCATAGCTCTACTTCAACAGAAGGATTTGCTCATGAACACCTTAGGAGGGCCGACTGGATTTCAAACACCTTTGATTTTCTCCCCGACATTATGATTCCTGATTGGTAGGTGGTCTTGAGAGGCTAACTGCCCCTCGTTAACCCCAGCATACTACACCACGTAGGTCGCATGATGAGGCTGAAACTTGACCCGATCCCTAAAATTCTTGCACGACTGAAGAACGGGCCTGAAAATGGCAAAAATGTTGTATAGTGTAGCCCAGCTTTAACCAGCTTTATTGACTACCAGTACCCTACAAGTGTCACTTGTTAACAAGAAGGCAGAGAGGTACCTTGAAAGTCATGGCATTAAAACAAAAGGAGCATTATTCATCACAGTTACGACAATTAAACTTATTTGAGGGTACAGAAAGCCTGCCAAATACTATTAGTATGCTAACAGATTGGAGACTAGCTAACCAAATCAATACCCGGTTGGTCCTAATCTAACGTCCTTGTGAAAATTAATAAATTTCACTATATTCAGCTCATCTGTGTTCTTTTGTAAAAAAAAAAAAACATTGTAAGATCAGTTCACACCAACATTTCTACTTAAGGACTTGCACCAATAGCACACTTTTATTCTTATTTCTTTTTATGAAGAATAAAAGAAATTGATCAGCATAAATAAAATCACCATACTGTAGATTTTTGCAAGGTTGAGGGTCAACACACTCACTGATGTTTTGTCATTCTTCGGGTGTACAGTTGAACAAAAGTCCTCTGAAAGCTTAAATTAATATATAAACTAATTTTTATGGAATCTGCAGCTACTAATCATCATTTCTTTTGAGGAATTTATATACCACATAATAAAATCAAAAGATGTTTTCCCTATTAACCTAATAGTTAACAACATTCTTCAACAGCTGAAAAAATCCTTAGGTGAATATAATCTTCTTTCTGGTTATTAAGTAAAAATCAGATACCTAATTAGTTTCTATCACTGAACATTTCTTAAAGGTATGTATTTTTTGCTGAAGTAGACTGGTCTCATTGGTTTTTGGCCTTTCTTTTAATCTCTTTTACCCTGAGATAAGATGAAGGTCAAAAGAAGAGAAATGTCCTTAAGTGCTGCATCAAAATTTGCCTCAGTAACTGAAGGCAGGCAAAGGTGGGCTTATGATGGGAAGAAATTGGACAAGGAGATAAAGCGACCTATCTTGCATGATCTGATATTTCTTTTCTTTACCTCTCTAGAGTGACCTTCATCTCTATTTTTTATGCTGCGCTGTGGCATCCAGAGTTCTGTGAACTCCTCTTCTCAGTGGGTAACCGTCAGATCTTCAGGCTGAGAGCTTATAAAAGCCCTGTGATTGTTGACCACCCGGGGGCTAGGTATTCACCTGACACTGAAAATGGTTTCCATGGCAACGCTCACTCGCCAGCCACGGGCAGGCAGATTATTATGTACAGAACGCGGCGACAGGGAGCGGCTGAGCGGAGTAATCCATTTGACAACACGATGCTCAAACACACCAGAGCTCTGTGACTCTTCTGGTTTAATGCAATCAGAGGAGATCCCACCGAGTCTTCAGCTTCCCATACCCACTTGTTATAAAGCATGGGGTTTTACTGTGTGAGGGAATCAGAACGACTTATTGAATGCTTGAAACCTGAGCAATGCGGATTTCTCGGCTGTGAGCAGACTGCAGAAAAAAACTCATAACCAAAGCTAACAAACATATTGATCACTTTAATTACCTTCATTATCCTTCAGGGTAAAGTTAGGATTAAGTGGAAGTTGGTCTGGCAAAGCAAAATAGAACCTCTGTCCATTAGCAAAGTCATCCTTATCCACAGCTGTGATGGTCTGGATCTCCTGGAAAACAAAATTGATATCCATTCAAGAACTATTTTTGCATTAAATGCAATATTTTACATTGTTACAGCATTAGCTTTAAATACTAGTTTTGAGTTGAAGCAAGAGGAGAATTTAGCAAACAATGGTGTTTTCACAGCAAATGTTAGTACCAGTATAGAAAACATTTGAATTTTATGTGCTATACCAGCCTAATTTACTGTCTCATTTTAAGGGTGGATGGAAAATGTAATAGTCTTAAAGATAAAAGTGTGGGTAGCATTTTTGTGCAGCCCCATTGGTCTGTATTATACAAAACTAACTTTATAGATGCATTTAGTCACTACTCTATTTGGGTAATAATTTGCACATTAACAGAAAAAAAGTTTTACCCAACTTTGTAAATAGACAGGATAAAGAGTGTCTGTGAATGTGCATTTTTAAGTCTTGCTAGACTCTCGATTTTAGGCTGGGACTTTTTCTGGGTTCTTCCAACAAATTCTAAAATATGGATATGGTTCTGACAAGTTTTCTTCCAGGAATTCCCTGGATTCAGTTTTTAACCAGTTTCCCACAGCATGAATCTGCTACCAGTGTCTACGGTGACCTGCAATGTTAATTTTCTGTTCTACATTAAGTCGAAGGGTTATGCTCTGATCTTGGCTGACTCAAAAACCTTTTGATGTTTGCAGTGATTTCTGTTTTGCACATTCATCCAAACTGGCCAAACTCCACTTCCATAGATTGCGATGATTCTGTTAATAACCTGAGCTTTAGATCTTTGTAGCTCCTTCAGAGTTATCATTGGCAAATTCTCTGATTCTCTTTGCCAGACGAGTAATTGTAGGTGGACTTTCTTGTTTTGAAAGTTTTGTCGCTATGCCATGCTCTCCCTCATTTTCAGATTATGGATTGGTCTGATGTTTATTGGTTTAGATTTCTATTTCTTTGACTAGATCCCTATTGAAGCCATGATATGTATAGAAAAGGCTGGAATAATGCTAAGATGGATTTAAACACAGATAGATAAGATTCTAAGGGGTAAAGGGTTACATAGGTATAAATTGGGGTTACTATGGAAAAGGGAGACAAACAATAATGCATTATTTATTTATAAACAAAAGAAATTCCCTTCCACTTGACAGTAAAGGATTAGTTAATTATATTATATTCTATATTGAACCCCAAACAAATGCTCTAGTTGGTAATTCCTATTAAATCACTGCTGGTGATGCTAATTCTCTAAAGATATAAAAAACTTGTAGAGTTACTGTATTAAAAAGGTTTGGGCAAAGACTTAAATCCCCCTTTTCACAGTCATGATTTTGTTAATTTTGACAATGTGGTTGTGCAATAATAATAACAATTGTTTGTGATTATGGTAATGCTCTATAACAAATATGGCTTTATTTATTTATTTGTTCCTTTGTTTGAACAAAAAATAGGGCCAAAAAATGTATTAAAAATGTTTTCATATAATGATAAAGGTAAACAAAAATCTAACTGGAGCATGTTTGCTGGTAAGAGGTTTCTAATGTCTGAAAATACCCAATTATTTTCTCTATTTTTTAGAATGGAACCTTTAGGTTTCTAAAGAAGAAGTTATATTTCATTGTGTTTCTTTACACAATGTTTAAGGTAAGAGATTTAACCATTTCTATATAAAAGAAAAAATAAGTTTCATCTTATATTTACTTTCTAATAGAGCTTTAAACATGTTTGATATAACTTTAAACCTGTTCAGTGTGTTTTAATTCTTATGTTTCTATTAAGCTGGACCATAAGTCAATCAGAACTCAGGGAACTCTGTTGCTAGGTAGACAATGAGACTTTATTAATTTATTAACAGCAATGATTAAATGAAGAAAAGTAGAGTAAAATAAACTCTACTTTTGTGAGAAATTATATTCAGTTTATGCTACATAAGATGTAGTGCAAGATATAGTTAGATGGATAGGTGCCTACACCTTTTATATCCCTTCAACATAAATGTGAAACACTTCCTTCACAAAAGAACAACAAGAAAAACAACTAAACCTCTTAGCAGACGTATACATATTACTAGGATTTCTTGCTTCAGTCTGTGATCAAAGACAATTTAAGGTCATTTTTACATTTTCCACCTTTCCTTTAATTATGTGTTGTAACAATGTCTTGGAGTGTATTCACATCAGCCCTGTTCAGTCTGCTGTATGTCGTTTTTACACCTGATAGTCCGGATTGATTCGGAACCAAAATTGCGACATGGTTACTATTTTCAAACTTTATGAAACCAAAACCAAACCTTTTGTCCCATCTGTTTGACCCCTCGACTGCAGTGGCTCTGTGCGAACCACTGAAGAAAGACGTTTGGTCAAAAACCAGGAAATGTAAAGCATCTTGGAATGACAACAGATTTCAGCAGTGTTATTACTATGCTGTCTTTTGACAAGTTTGACATATAAGTATCTTTCAACAATGGGCTCAGCATGCAACAAAAAAAAAAAAAGGGAGATGAAAGCAAAGGCTCTTAATGAGGCTGCGACGAACTAGAAATGGTGCATTTGACTTAAATGCGCTAATGTCATAAATGCACAGATGTCCAGCAAGGTATTTTTAAGATATTATTAACTTAATTTGTATTATTATGCAGTACAATCACAGCTTTTGTAGCACTCTCCAGTCTGTATGGCATTCACATCTCTTTCTGCACTGGGCCAGAGTTCAGTATAACATAGCAGAGACATAGGTGACGAGTTTGACAATTTTTTTTCAGGTTTGATTGCACATTCATATCTCCATAAATGAACCAAACTTTCTGGCCAAATTAAATCTGATTAATTATCTTATCCTTCAAACTTTCCAAAAGACAGTATAGCAAGGACACTGCTGAAATCTGTTGTCATTTCCTGATGTTTAAGTTTTCGTGCTTGTTAACTAAATTGGTTTTTGGTGCAGTGGCACGACATGCGAAGGGGGTAAACAGGTGAGCCAAAAGTTTTGTTTGTTAATGTATCAGATGTTGTAACTTTCGGTTCCCAATTGATCCAAATTTACCAGACTATGAAGTGTGAAAATGACCTACATTTACATAGTGATTTTCCATACGTTTAATTTTTGAAAGGCATATCTCTGCCTTTACTTTTTTGCTTCTAAACATACATTTATTTAGAGTTTATACTGTGTTTATTCCATAAAATCTGAGGGTTATAAATACTTGTTTTTATAGGTTAGAATGCAGTAATGTTTAATTTTTATAGAGTTGGTTTTACAGTAGTATATTAACCCATACATTAACAGAAGGTCATGTTCATACAAATACTGCATAGCTTCTTAACAACGCTTTAGTTGAAAACGATTTTCTAAAACTGTTAGAAATTGTATTGTTGACATGATTTCATTAAGGTTCCAGGACATTTTTTTTATTACTCATCTTAAAAACCTGGTTTCATAAACTCATGCAATTGGTATATAATCCATTATGGGACTAACCTTATATTTGATTGTTGCTAAATACATGTTTATAAAAATGTAATGCAATTTAAAATACTTTTATTTTCCCCGGGGAAATGTGTTTTGGGCAGATGAAACTGCATCAAGATAAAATTGGTGCAATTAAGCAAAAAACAATATTAAGAATAAAAGCTGGTGAGACAAGCGTTTTAAAGAAGCAATAACAAATAATGACACCCTGTTTCAGTCAAAGTATTTTGTTGTCCAAATACTTTTAAAGGATGCCAAGTTCTTTTTAGAAATTGATTAGAGTATTTGTGGTCCGGATCTCTTTCTGGTTTCCACGTGTGCAGGACGGTGCTGTGTTGGTACATTATATGACGAATCTTGTGCTCCTTTTTCATCTCTCATATGCTTGGGTCAGGAACTAGGAAGTAAGCATAAGCTACTCTTTGGAGCAAAGTAGTTCCAGGTTTAAAGGGAATAAAAACTTGATATGATGAAAAGGACCAATTGTTTATGGGAAATGTATCTTTCATACTGAGTGACAATGAGAATGATTTTGGTCAGTTTTTGAGTAGATTTCTTACTTACTGATCTTTAAAGATTTAAATATTAAAAATAAAATGTAATCTTATAAAAATATACCACTTAATTATGACAGTTGTGCTTTGTTGTCCTTTTAATCTCAAATTATTTCTCTCATGGTATGGTTTCGTTTTGTCAATCTAGAGAAGCTATATATAATACAATATATAATATAATATAATGACAATAAAAACGACATGATGCCTTCTAGTGGTAATTCATGAATTATATAAAAAGTTGTACACCACATTAACCCTTAATAAGTCAAAATGTTGTTTTCCTTTTAAGTTTTCTGATAAAACCTAAAGACTTATAGATACATGTATAATAGCATTACCTTTCATCATTTTTATTGATATAGTCATATTAGTAAAATAAATATTATTATATATATCTTTAACAACTGAAACTAACAACATCTGGAGATATTTAGAATCTGAGATGCCATCAGTAGGCTTTTTTATATATATAAATATATGGCTTTATTTATAGTTTGAAATGCTTTCGTTGGATTCAATAATTATTTGATTTGGATACAAACCATTTCAGTTATAATCTACATAAAAATTGTCATCAAGAAATCACAAAAAATGAATCTAATGCTCCTGTAAGCACATTTTGTGCAGAATATAAGTTTCACTGAATGCTTTCTGCTTAATCCAAAGAGTCAGGAACCCTTAGCTTGCAAACAATAATTTAAACCTTAATTCAAACTTTCCTTTAAACTTCTCTTGAACCAGTTCTTTACTATCAAAATGTATTTAGTTGAGCCTTCTGCTGCTTTACTCTATCATCCTTAGCAGAACCACACTTTCATTCATTTCCAGGCTGCTGATTGCTCTATACTTCAACAACCTTCTTAATTTGAATGAATCAAAGAGTACTGTGAGCAAATTGGAACGAGCTTCGATTTAGAGCTGTCATGGTCTGCTGCTGAGTTACTCATTTTGTATAAGGGATGATAAAGCAGCCTCTTTCCAGTGCAGTCAGAGCTGCCAGAGCTCTGGTCTTGCTGAGCAACCCAAAACTTGCTGAGGGAAACGAGAGTTCAGCGATATGAGGTGCGTTCAGGGAAATGACAGTGGTTAATGTGCAGCTCTCCAAGTTTCTTTTTTAAGTTGAAGAATGTTTGACCATGCGAGAGAGGAAAAGTGTAAGTAGTGTTTAGCTTTTTTTTTCCTCCCCTTGATGGATTCCAGACTCTCACCTGGCCGGGCTTTGAGCTTTCGCACACAATCACTTCCTTGTTGGTGGCTATTTCTGGTGGATTGTCGTTCATGTCCAGCACCTGCACGGTGACAGAAACGTGCCTGAGCAGACTGGGGTTGTCTGTAAGAAGAGTTAGAATAGAAGGAAAAATGGAGAAAAGCAAAATTTAGGCATTCATTGCAAAATAAATCATTCAACATTTTAAAAGACGTAACTGAGTATGGTCCAGTCAGAATAATACTAAGGCTTCAAATACTAACATTCTCAGTAAAACCATTAAACTGTTTTTAATGATTTTTACTAGTACTGCTCCAACATCTTAGATGTTTAATTCAGTGCTTAAATGTCATAGCTCTACATTCACATAACATTTTTATTACAAGGTCCAAATATGACTTCTGGCTAATATCAAAGTATCAGAACACCAAATTTGATCAGTTTCTTTTTTTTTCTCAACATGTTAAACAACTTCCCTACAACTTAGGAGGAAAACAAATAAGACTTATTCTCTTTCAGCTCCCTGGTTGTTATATTAAGCAGGTAAAGTGTACAGAGCACTCTCACTCTATTCCCAATTCAACATCTTGAATTGCTTGCTTATTTTTCCTCTTCTTTCATTTTACTTTTTTGTAAGACCCCTGACAGCCACTTACATAATTTAGTTTTAAGGCAATCCTGCCTTGAACATTGCCTTCCAGACGGGGTATTTCTTAAACTGCTCTCTCAACTAAAATCAAAGCAATAACTTTAACATTACATTAACATGTTAGGTCGAGTCAGGATATATCCAGCACTGATTTGGTCAATTTTACAGTATATACTCAAATATGGTACATAGTTCATTGCGCTGTAATTCTAGCAGATTTATAGTAAGAAGTGTTAAACAAACGCCTTAAACAAATTAAAGAGGGCCACATTTTCTGTAGCTCTGAAGTACGGTTCTTTGAGGAATGCAGCTGACTGTTGACCCATGAAGTAGATCTGTCTAGGATTGTAGAGTGCTTTTACTGGGTGGCTTCCAGGAGAGATAATGATTTACGGCATGACAAGTAGAGCAGCTGAGGTGAAACAGAACATTTGCTCAGCAAAAGAATATCAGTAAAGAAAAAATAAAAAAGATACAAAATCCTAAACTGTACATAATAAAGACATATATATATATATATATATATATATATATATATATATATATATATATATATATATATATACAGTGGGTACGTGTGTTGTGGAGGATTTCACATGAATTTTGCAGGAACTTATTAAATGAGTTGCAACTGTAATGTGAAAATTAACAAGTGAAATATCTGTGATATATATTACCATTGCTGCAAATGAGTGAAAATGATCATGTTATATGTAACGGTTTAAAAAAACACCGTTGGTTTAATTGGTTTAGGATTGTCTTGTGCTAGGTTACCATATTCAAATCAATTAATTACTGCAGCAAAAAACTGTACGATAAAAATAGGAAGTCGATCAGTCAATTATTTCATAAATTAAATAAGTAGTCAAAAAAATAATAATGAAATAACACCTTCATAAGGGATCCTTATTATATCATATCTCACCACATCATCATGATTTATGTTTTTAGTTACAGTTTAATTATGACATTCCTTTATAAAAAATAGATATAAAAGTTATCTACTCCTTTAAATGTCGGGCTTTTAAATCTCTGACCCTAGATGTTAACAATAACAAAGTGGCTTTGAATTTAAATACCCTAATAACTTACTTAAACACTTCTTATTTATATCTACTTCTACCCTCTGCAACATAGACTGCAGTGTAATTAGTTGTGAGCTGTTCGTCTTTTTTTGCGTAACTGTAACTCTTTGCCAACTCAATGTATATGCCCCATTTACACTGTTTAGGTATCTGTTGTGGAATACTAAAGAGAGATAAAGAGATAAAGAAACATTAGTATGCATGTCCTTGTCAATTGGCTGGAGATTTGCCTAATTGTGATTACAAATTACCCACGGCACCTCAGGTTAGGGGGCTTTATTGATTTAATTAGTTGCCGGACTAGAAAGCAACACTTAAACAATGCTGGTTTGATTGAATTGTATGGGCAATCATAGGGAAATGCAATCTAACCTGTTTAGCACAGAACAAACAACATGCAAATTAAACTAACCTAATATTTTCTTTAAAATCTACAATGTTTAAACACACAATTTTATTTAAGACTTGTATGTAAACATATACTGCACCATTTTTCTTTTTAACTGCAGCACAGTTGGACATTTTCTAATCGATACCATGAGAATCGCTTGTCCAGTGTCCACAAATCAAGTGTGCCATGGTATATAGCATGGGAAAACCACTAACAACAGGTGAATCTGATTACCGTGTGGTTAAGTATGTTCTTTCTATATGTGCGTTGATGACTATGTCAGCATGCAGTGTGGCTGGAGTGTCCTTAAATAACACAAACAATATCAAGTGTTCTTTACTTACAATGTGCTACAGATTTGAGTCTGTATCTAAGGGCAGCATGTGTGCTGCTGATTCATGTACTCATTGCTTTTTATGGATCCCCTCTTTTATTGATATTGATTTTGACTCCTGTGTTACTCTCTATGAATTTGAACCCCGGCTGCCCCCTGACTATACAGTCCCCCCAGGGTGTCCTGTTACCTAGAGGGATAGGAAAAAAGAGGGAGAACTATAGGCAGTGGCTTTTTTTCTTCTTAATTGTTTCTATCTAAGTCATGCTGCTTTTGTAAAGGTTTGGTTATTTGCAGGCTTCTCTGATGTATAACATCTAAAGGCTGGAGGGTAAACACAATAAAACTAGGAAAGCAACATTTTTCATTAGGATGTGTCTTTTGGGCATTAAAACACATTTTCCGACCATGCTATTTTATGCATATTTTTGTAAAAAAAACTTCCATTTAAAATCTAAAACAAAGTCTTTCATGAAAATACATCAAGGATAAGCCAAAATACCAGTCGCTAAGAGCATAAAGCAGTCAGTTTTTCATATTTGTGAAAAGGTAGTGACTTTGGATATCTCAAAAGACCTTAGGGCAGGGGTCTGCAACCTTCCAAATCCAAAGAACATTTTTTGTCCTGAGTGTGCCTGTTACCTTCTTTAGAACCTCAAAAATAATACCTGACTTTTGAATAAAACAACCAATTATTTTTCTTAAATATCTGCCTTAGGAAATCTATTTCCATCTTAAACAACCAATGGTTTATTTGTATTTTTAGCTTTTAAAAATAAGGAAAAACATAAAGACAGATCTTCTTCTATAAGCTATTAGTTGAGGTAAAAATAAAAACTTCCAAGCTAATTAGAAGAAAAATGGCTCTTAAACAAGCTGGTTCTTTTAATCTAATTTTGTTGTGAAAATTTGCCCCTATTAAGAGCCATTATGGTGGGTCCAAAGAGCCACATGTGGCCCCAGAGTCGCAGGTTCCAGACCCCTGCTTTAGTGTATATTTAATAATAATAACGAAAAACAACAGTAATACTTTATTGGTTTCACATTGCATTTAACCCACCCCCCTTAGTAGCAGTGTGCTGCCATTGTGCGGCGCCTGGGGAGCAGTGTGGGGTTAAGGGTCTTGCTCAGAAACCCAGAGTGGACGCTGTGGGGATTGACCGGGTACTTGCAGCCCTCTCAGAACAGTGTGCTGATCTAACCCACTAGGCCAACACTCACATATTTAGTCCATTGTGAAGGGGGTGGCAATTTTGGAGTATTTAAATAACTTATAATTTGTAAAATACAAATGTTACCCAGAAAAAAACTCTACTTTAAAAGATAATCAGTAATCCATTGCATGATGTTTGTTTAAACAACTGGGTACCTACCAACCTCCGAGGCCATTACTGTGATATTGTGCCACGGTATAGCTTCTCTATCCAGAGGTTGTGTTGTACGTATGACCCCACTGCTTTCATCGATACGGAAGTATCGCACACCATCCTCTTTGCTGTCCAGATAATATCTGTCAGAAAGATAAAAACATGGAATTAGAATGAATTACTGAGTTACATTACTAACAGATAATTGTTTGACAAAGAAAATAAAGGAACAAACCAATAAGGTCAGGTGTAACTTGTATGTCCCTGAGTATGTAACTCACTCTAAAATTCACCATTAGGGTTTTACTCAGGAAAGTTCTTGGTTCAAATCCTAGCCGTGACTTTCTCAATGGGTTGTGGAAACCTCCAAAATGTATCTGGGTTTTTTGTGGTTATTTTTGGGGATACTCTTATGTTAAGGCATACTCTTATACCAAAAAAATAACGTAATAATAAATAATTAGAAATAAACGTAGGGAAAACTAAACGTTTTTTTTTTTTTTTTACATATTTTGTAGCATTTCGTGTTAATTCACAAATGGGGAGCCGCTGCCAAAAACTAAAGATGTGTGGGGGGGTCATAAAGTGCAGGAACCCCTGTGTTAGGGCATTCCATTAATTTCTAATGTTTTTTTCATTTTTACAAATATATGAATAATAATCTTCGTTTCACAATTGAAAAAAAAAATATTTGAGGCAAAAGTAATAGGTTAAAATATAGCAACTTAAGTTGCTAATAACTTGGCATGTGAGTGGGACAAGTTTCCCAGCATAATTATTAAGTCGTTTAGAGATAGAAGATTAAAGTAAAAGTCAGAATATTTGAAAGTAAAAATCAAATTTGAAGCAGAACTGGATCCTACAAGAATATGACCCAATATTTATCATTAAACACATTAACATCCACATAAAATGTAGAAAAGGCAAAGACTAATAGCCTTAGTCACAAAAGAGTGCAGCTTTCATACTGAAAATTTGCAGTAGGGGGGAAAAAAAAGAAAATTTTGCAGTACAGAAAAAAACAGATGTATGAAATTCTGCATAATGGTGCCACTGCATATTTTACCTTCAGTCAACCCAATTTGCGTGGAATTGACCTCAGCTGCAAATGGATTTTCTCTTGTCCCTAAATACATATGCAAATCACCATAAACACCCAGAGGGCTCCCATTACGTGTCCAAATAACCATGTCTGTCGCAGACAACACACCTCAGGGATATTTGTTACAGTGAACCAATTTCTTGGGTGACATTAGTGACTCACAAAGGAAACCAGCTGATAATAAAAAATAAAAAAAACTTAGTGAGTATTTTGTTTCACCTTATTTGTACAAAGTGCAATCTGAATTATTTATCCACTGGATTGATCTCAAGTATTGTAAGGTAAACCCAAATCATGATAATTCAATGGGATATACCCCAATTTTTTTATCAGGAACATATCATCATACACAAACACACTATGTAAAATATAAATAATGTTTAGAACGATTCAGGACATCATAAAAAGGAACAGTAATCATAAAAACGTAAAAAAAGTAAACATCAGTCCATCAGTCTGTTAAAAATTTGTTTCTTGACACTTGAAATGTATTCCTTGATTGTACTTCACAAGTAGATACAGTTAATATACAGATCTGTTACATTAATAAAGAAAAAAAAAATATTAGCAAATGGTTTACCTATAGAAATATGAGTGCAGTGATATTTCTGATTATATTTGGAAATTGGCTCTTGTCAATTTGTCAGGACTCCAGTCTGTGTGTTTGTTTTCTGTGTTTGTCTCCCTTCCTCCACCTCCTCACACACCTGCTGAGGGTTTCCTCGTTAACAGAGTGTTCTTAAGCTGCTGACTGCCACTACCTCAACGCCAGAGTGTCTGCCAGTTTTGGGTACTCTAGCCAAGCTGAGTTTTGCTGAGTCAAACTGAGTTCTTGTCAACCTGAGTTTTAACATTGTTTGTCTTAAATAACTGCAAACTGGATTTTTCGGACCTTCTCTCCCTGGAAGGATCAACTGAGCTTCAAACTGAGCTGGGGTTCAAACAGGAGGTTTGGATCCACTTTCCCCAAGAGATCGTTTGAGCTTCACACTGAGAAAGGGATTTTTCTCCATTATGACCTGTTCAAGAACCGCAGGAAATCTGAGTGGCAGTCAGTTTCTCCGTTCACCTACAAACAACCGCATTCTGGGTAAACCCTTTTCCGCCCTCCACCGAATCAGACAAACTCTGGAACTACAGCATACAGACTGGAGTCAAAGATTCAATAACTTCTCTGGAAACGTGAGTTAGCACCCAAATCCTCTTCTCCAAGTTCACGAATCTATTTTCCCACTGAGCCTGAACTAATCGCTGTGCCTTCCCCCTCACTTTTCAGTTGTGGTTGAACAGTTTTCAGAGCAACACTTCTCTCTGCATTATCTCTTCAATAAAACCTGTTAAAACTTTTCCCCTGGTCTCCATGTTTGGTCTTCTGCATTTGGGTCTGAACTTTAGTAAAATCATGACACAATTGTCTATTGTATGTGTAATCAAACTTTGTTAAAGTATATAAACAATGTCTTAGCAACATGATGTGGCTGCCCCATATGACTGGCATGGAAAGCTCATGGATCATCACAAAAAACAACAAAAAACACAGACTTGTAAATCGACTCCCTAAAGAAACAATAGGGCAGTAGTGTAATGTTAAACTATAATGCATGTTTCCTACCAGTATTCCTTTGTAATGCTGCTCAGTTAAAATTATTTTTCCACTGAATATTCAAAACACACACAAAGCAGCATTATTGTATGAATTTTTACTGCTATCTAGTTGTCAGAGCTGTGCAAAATTATGCATCTTTATATTGAACAGCCTAATAAAAACCTAACATTTGATATTTTTAAATATACTCCAATGGACAGTTTCTGTTTAATTAGGATTTAACAATAACAGCACAAAAATACATTTTACTGTATATTATAACTGTTGATTTGTAATTGTAAATATATTAAATGAATAAGATTTGATTGACAACTTAAATCAAAGTAGGCTAAAATCAGTTGCCGATTATAGCTGTACAAAAACCAGAGATCAGAATTCAGTCTTAAAAATTTGATTAGTGTATCTCATGTTTTTTTTTTTTATAAATACACTTTTAGCTAGGAAGATCTACTGACAATGTGACAATCGTCTCACTCAGCGTGACTGAAGCTACAGTAAAAATATTTGTAGTCAAAGAGTTTTATACAGGCTTCTTGTCACACAGGACTCCTCGCCTCAACCATCACCCTGTTTTTAAAAGGCCACTACATCCACAGGACATTTTTACAGACACAGTAAAAGTCAAGTGAAGAAGTTGAGGTTAACAGTGGAAACAGACTCACAAAATACTTGATTTCAACCCAGTTTGCTTAATAACTACAGGAAACCTCAACATGTACTGAAAACAGAGTGTGTTTACAGTAAGCACACAATGTAGAGTTGTCCACACTGTGCATAAATGTAGAAAAGCAATTTTTTTTAACACATCTGAACAGGCAAAATATGTATTTATATGTCCTGACCAATATTTTAAATCCCTTTGCTTCTGTCAGATTTGCTGACCTCAGATACAGCAACTTTAAAGAGCAATATTTTCCTTTAAACATTTCAAAATGTGGCTTCATTACAACTTCAAATCTCAATGTGCATCTTAAGATTCCCTATGATATAAAAACAAAAAGTAAAGCAAATTGAAGGAAACTAATGTATTGTCATGAACTTGGCGCGGATGACTGGGTTGATTACTTATTTTATTCACCAACCTAGCTCCACCCAGTTTCTCATTACCGCTCATCTATTTCACCTGCTGCAGCATCTATTTAACCTGCCTTCTTCCAGTCAACAGTGCAACATTATTTGAGTTCTTGGCGAGAGTCTCTAAGCGAGTATTTGTGTTTGATTGCTTGATCCTAACCCATTCTGCCTTTGGACTTCTGAACCTGCCTGTTCCCGTTGTGATCTGTTAGCCTTACCTGTCTTCAGACTCCTGCTGGATTCTGCCTGTTTACCGAGCCTGGAATTGCTTCCTGACATCGTTATTGATTTCTCTTCGGTACCTCTTCGGATCTCTGATCTTCTTCCAGTGAGCCTCCTTGATACTGGCTTTGGCTTTGCCCTCTGGATTATCCTGCCTTGCTTCACCTGCTTGTATCTGATATCCTGCCTGTCCTTTAATCTTCAGGGCTTCAACATCTGTGACTTTCTGGGCGGTTCCCGCCACGTTTTTTCGGCAGCCGACTGGCTGAAAATTACCTCCGTTTTTTGGGCATGGACTGAACTTTAAGACCAGAGGTCCTTGCCTTAGACATCCTAGCTGTTCATTGCAGATCCATCATTTTAAATAATTTTTGAGATTATAAAATGTCTTCCTGAATACTTGGTTTGTTCTAAACCCTGACACTTATGGTGACAAAATTCTACAAATAACAGTAAAAATTACATGCATGTATTATTAACCCCCTCTACTTTAACATCTATGAAGAAATACTATTATAAACGGTTTTCTTAAGAAGATTTAGAAAATCTCTCACATCCATAGAGAATGTATTCAGCAACTTTAGATGCATTTCTACATCAGCACACGTGAATGGTTGAATTACCTTCACAGCTGTTTCAAGGTTCTGCTCAGGCCTGGTAAATGAGCCATTAATTTGATTCTGGTGTGTTTGAAAGGTTGAAAGGTAACGCGTCTTCAAGGCAGAAGTTGAAGACCTCTTTTGTAACTCCAGCCTAGTGTTCATGGAGCTTTTGATGTAATCATAATACAGTAGAAAAACAGTTTTTCATTAAGCATTTATCCATTTATTGGTGAACACAAAAAAAGACATTCACTACAGAATCTAAAAACAAAGTCCAGAGTTAGAAAAACTGCCTCAAACAAAACGAACAAAAAAATATATTTTACTGAAGCCATTCTAATTTTCTCTTTTCTTTTTCTGTTTATAGGATCTAAAACAGGTTTAAAATAGTACCTGAAATGAAATGCACCATCCCCCCTGAGAGACAACACACTACTCAGCACTGACTGATTTCATAAACGAGACAGTGTCTGATAAAATCACCACACCAGCAGCTGCATTTGCGTATAAAAGGCTTTTTGAGAAGTTAGTTCATTC